CAGAAATGTATGAAGAATGAAATGGTGAAACAATGACAGTGAAGTTGACTATACATAATTGCTTTGTTCATCAAGCAGTTGCATTAGAATCTTGTTGTTGAACAAATATCTACTCAGCAAATATGGTTTTCAAATACCCAATCTTCTTAACCGTGTTTCATTTGACATCATGTTCTTTATTAAGCTACATCACGGTTGCATGAATAAAGATGGTCCCCAAGTAGACTACTCGATCCAGGGTTCAATTTCTCCTGATCTCAGCTTTGAATTTTATATTCTGTGCGTCGGTGACAATTGAAAATATTTCTTTGAGATTCCTGGCAGTTAGTTTCAACCATACTATTGGGATTATGAAGCTATTTTTCACATCAGTTTTGTTTACTTGATGACATTGAAGAGAGAAGCTCATGTATATTGCTCTTTCCCGATGTTACTGGGGTTTTCATTACCAGCTAAACTGAACCGAGTTTTCATCTATTTGGTTTATCATGTGCGTTTCATCCCCATCATCAAGAATTCTACGGATATTTTTCCATACATGGTTCTTATATTGGGTGTGTTTTTAATTCCTACAACGCTCATTACAGAAGAAAACGTGATCAATATCACACTTACCCTTGCCTGAGATAATATCAAGATCAATTGGTATCTCTTATTCAATTCATCACTAGCATATCTTGAGAATTTGATCAACTTTTTGGTCATACCAACATCACACTTGAATCCCCATTGAGTTTTGTTCTCAAATGGTCTTGTGACATCATACAAAAACTTTGAACACCATGCAAAGAGATTCAATGATTGAGAAATCTTGGCATAAGCCACAGAAAAAGGATGAATGTGTTGTCAAATGTTTTACGAACCAGTTATTATGATGTTGAACCAATGTTGTGATCATATGGTTTTCATTTTTTATCCAAGATGAAGTTTGTCTTCTTTAACTTCGAGATTATAAGTTGAGATATGATGAAGATTTCTTTCCATAAAAGGAGAGCTGAAATTTTAAACAACAAGAAACTAATGGCACGAACTAAGGTTAAACGATAGGTTGTTGTTAAACATCTCGACATGATATGGTCCAAGTTGCCTTATTCGAGATTTAATTTAAATATGGGGATATGAAAGGAATTGAGATAAATTCTCCTTATAATGTGTTTCAAGAGTCAAATCAGAACAGACTCTACTCCCCTAATTAATCCCTGCTGAGTCAGGCATATCTACATCTACATTCTTCAAAGATGATAAATTCTCTTTTCAAAGATAAAAGATTCTCTTTTTAAAGATGATAGATTCTCTTTTCAAAGATGAAATATTTATGGGATTTATACACAAGTCCAAACAAATAAAGTTGGTTTTATCCAAGATAAAATGGGACATCAGGGTCATAGCTCTGACTACGGCAAGAGTTTCACAAATGAAACATTTCTTCTGAGACTTTCATGAAACAAAGAAGACACCAAGGTACAAGTTGATCAGATGATTCTACAAAAATGCAAGCTGGATAACATAAGTTTCTACACTGATACCCAGAGGTAACCCTGGCAATAAATGATGAAATGAAGGAAGACCAAGTTCACCACTTTGAAGTCAAATGAAGATTGCATCAACATTCATACATTCATAAAAATATCATTTACACAATAGACAATGCATTACATTGATACATCTGAGTGCATTCAAACATGAAGTTTTACAGATCTTCGGAAGAACAAGAAGATTCAGGGTAAAAAATACCTTACACGAAGAAGGTATTCAAAACCACAAATACAGGAATCATGCAAACATCTGAAGAAGAGATGGATGCAATCCACAAAAATGAGCATTATTGTGAGATTGGGGCATGTTACCCAATCAACATGTTATTTTGAAAAATAATGAGAAAATGATTTCCATAGTTTCTCATTCAATCTTTTCTAAAAAATGAAATTGTTGAAAAGTAAGAAAGCGATTTCCTTAGTTTTTTTTTACTTAGTAAACTATTTCCCACATCTGTAAGTCCTGCAGTGCATGATGTTTCCAAAAAGCCTTCGGGAGTTTTTTGATGTTTTCAAAACCTTAGGGTCATCTGTAAGTCCTTCAGTGCATGATGTTTCCAAAAAGCCTTCGGGAGCTTTTTGATGTTTTCAAAGCCTTCGGGTCATCTGTAAGCCCTTCAGTGCATGATGTTTCCAAAAAGCCTTCGGGATCTTTTTGATGTTTTAAAGCCTTAGGGTCATCTGTAAGTCCTTCAGTGCATGATGTTTCCAAAAAGCCTTCGGGAGCTTTTTGATGTTTTCAAAGCCTTCGGGTAATCTGTAAGCCCTTCAGTGCATGATGTTTCCAAAAAGCCTTCGGGATCTTTTTGATGTTTCAAAGCCTTCGGGTCATCTGTAAGCCCTTCAGTGCATGATGTTTCCAAAAAGCCTTCGGGATCTTTTTTATGTTTTAAAGCCTTAGGGTCATCTGTAAGTCCTTCAGTGCATGATGTTTCCAAAAAGCCTTCGGGAGCTTTTTGATGTTTTCAAAGCCTTCGGGTCATCTGTAAGCCCTTCAGTGCATGATGTTTCCAAAAAGCCTTCGGGAGCTTTTTGATGTTTTAAAGCCTTAGGGTCATCTGTAAGTCCTGCAGTGCATGATGTTTCCAAAAAAAGCCTTCTGGAGCTTTTTGATTTTTCAAGTCTTCGGGTCATCTGTAAGTCCTGCAGTGCATGATGTATCCAAAAAAGCCTTCGGGAGCTTTTTGATGTTTTCAAAACCTTTCAATACATGATGTTTTTAAGACCTCTGGAATGATGCTTTCAACATTTTAGTCTTACTCAAAAAAAGTCAAATGAAAAATTATTGTTGTTTTTGTCTTTGCTTTATTCGTGTTAACACAAGAATGAGCAAAGAGGGGCAGCTGTAAACACTAATTTTTCATTTTACTTAAATTATTATTATTAAAATTATTATTATTATTATTATAAATATTATTATTATATTATTATTAAATATATTATTACAAGGCCCAAAATTGGGGCCCAATTACAATTACAATCGGCCCAATAGAACTCAAACCCTTTAGGGTTTGTAACATTCAGCTAGGGTTTTCTAACCCTAGCCCCGTGCGCAGCCGCCTCAAGGGTTTTCCAGCCGCCTCTGAAGCCATTCCAGCTGCCACGCCTCTCCAAGCTTCCAGAAGACCACACGGCGCTGCTTCAGCTTCCAGCCGCCCCACGTCGACACTGTTGTTGCCACGACACCAGCCTCGCCGAAGTCTCCAGAATGCCACGAAGCCCTCCACATGTTGAGCTCTATGGTGAGTCACCACCATAGTTATGGTGACTCACCGAACCTCTTCTCTTTACTCGGGTCGAAGAGGACACCGGTGGTGGCTATAAAGCCTCACCAAATCTGCGAAAGAAAAAAAAAACCCGACGACAACAAACGGACAACAACAAACAGAAAAAAAAGAGATACAGAGAAAGAGCTACACCAACGATCCCAGAAAATACAAACCGAAAGAAGAAAAAAAGAGACTTACCGAGGAAATCGCTGCCGTGAGAGCCTCCACGAGTCATCGGAGAACCGAAACACCGAAGGTGAAAATCGTAGATTTACGATATATTATGGGATTTTAGGTTAAAATAACCTTAGATCGGGCATTAGGACGTTTAGATCTACGCTTTGGGGGTATTTTGTAAATTCCGGCCACCGTTCACGGTGATCGGCGGCGGTGGCCGGCGGCGGAGTACGGTGGCCTATGGCTGCCGGTTTCCCTCCGGCGAGGGAAACTAGAGAGAAACCAGAGAGAACTCTGGTTATCTCATTTTGAGAGAGAAAGGAAAGAGGCAAATGAGGAAGCTTGGCCCTTCGGGCCAGGCGTTTAGGGTATTTAAAACCCTCCCCAAACGACGTCATTTTGGGGAGGGTATCTGTGTAATTTAAGAAAGGGTAAACCCTTTCTGCAACCCTTATAGGTCTGTAACTTTGCAATTTAGTCACTGAAATTGACTTTTAATCATTTTAATTTAGTGTTTAAATTTTATTTTATTATATTTTAGCCATTAACCGTATTAATAATATATTTAGGATAAATGTCATATTTAGTCCTTTAATTTTAATAATTAATATTTTAATCTGAATAGTATGTTTTAATTTATTTTAATCTGATATTTGAATTTTATATAATTTTATTTTAGTCACTAAATTAATAAATAAGGAAATAGCATGTTTAATCCCTATAATTTTGATTAATTATGAATTAGGTATTTAATTTTAATTTTACTATAATTTAATCACTAATTTTAAATATTTTCATTTATTTTACTGCTTTTAAATATATAGTTCTAATTGTATTTTTATTGTTTTAATTTTACTTGTTTATATTTAAATATTTTTATTATTATTATGTAGTCATAAATATATATATAATAAATAATAATTTATTTTTTCAATAAAATAATTTTAATATTTATTTTTCAATATCAAAGAAAAGGGCAGTCTTAATACAACTGGATGTCCTATTCTGGTATTTTAAAAATAAATGCTATAAAAAATTATTATTTTATTTTATCTAAATTAATATTTATTAATATCAAAGAAAAGAACTGTCTTAAGGCACCTAGAAGTCCTTTTCTGATATTTTTAAATAAATAAATATTTTTTATATAATTTTGAAATAATAAGATTATAAATTAAATATATTTTGAATTTTTAAATTTTTAATGATAGAGACAATTTATAATTAAAAAAGTACCAATTTTGGGCGTTGTAGGGGTGCTAATCCTTCCCTAAACGTAACCGACCACGAATCCCTTTTTATTATTAAAAGGAACGAATTTTTGGTTATAAACGCAGATCAGATCATTTTTTAATTGATGTTTTCTTAAAACTCTTTTAAAAAATAATTTTTAGGTATTCGACCTACCTGACCCAAAAGGCCGATGGCGACTCTCAAATTATTTTCAAAACCATTTATTCACATCACTTTTCCCGTCAAGTAAATATTTCGTGCCCGGACGAAAACCGGTTACGACAAGGAGCTTAGAAGAAATTCTGCACGGTACAACACTACGGCTTCAACTATATCTGTGTTTTTTCCTTTGCTTGATAAATGTTGTTGTAACCACTGATCCAATCTAACATATATTGTAGGGAACAACAATGGAAAACATGCCCTGTCATGGGAACAAAGATATAACGTTGCTGTTGGGATTGCCGAAGGCCCAAACTACATACATAATGAGCTCTCTCGACCTGTTATTCATAGAGATGTCAAGTCTTCAAATATTCTTCTTTCAGATGGGTTCGAACCAAAGGTAATTTAAATGATACGTTATTCTAAAATGAAATACGTCGCAAGTCGATCACATGGTCATCGTTTTTTTTTTCCGGGTGCGACAGTTATCTGACTTCGGGTTAGCAATATGGGGACCAACTGATTCATCATTCCTACTTCAAGCAGATGTTGTTGGAACATTCGGGTATTTAGCTCCTGAATATTTTATGTACGGTAAACTTAGTGACAAGATCGACGTCTATGCTTTCGGCGTTTTTATACTCGAATTGCTATCGGGAAAAAGACCTTTAAGCTTTGAGAATCTGAAAGGTTGGCAAAGCTTGGTCATGTGGGTAAGAGTCTTCTCTAAAATGAAGTAATCCTTTCACATCTGCATCAATGATCACATATAATTTATCAAGTACTTGAAAAACTGGAGGCAAAGCCAATAATAGAGAGTGGAGATGTGAAAGGCATAATGGATCCAAATCTGAATGGAAATATCGACGAGACTCAAATGCATCGGACGGTTCGAGCTGTGTAGACACTAATTTTCGTCGACATATTTTTCCTTTATATGTACATACATATTTATATATATATATATACATATTTTAAAACTACGTATATAATATATAGTTTTTAAAACTATATAATGTATAGTTTTTAAAAAAAACATTTTAAAATATATATATAATGTATAATTTTTAAAATCATTTTGAAAACTTATATATATATAATTTTTGAAAACATTTTTGAAAGCACAAATATTATAGTTTTGAAAATATTTTTGAAAACATTTATATATTATATAGTTTTTAAAACGTTTCTGAAAACTTATATAATATTTTTGAAAACATGTTTGAAAACATTTATATATTATATAGTTTTTAAAACATTTTGAAAATAAATATAATATATAGTTTTTAAAACATTTTTGAAAACATATATATTATATAGTTTTTGAAAATATATAAGAAATTTATATATATTATATATGTTTTTGAAAATATTTTTATTTTTATTTTTATTATTTATTATTATTATTATTATTATTTTATGTTATTTTATTCCTTATTTTTATGTTTTGTTTGTTGTTCAGGATCCAGGGTCCAAAAATCCAATGTGCAGGTCCAACAGTAGGGCCTGACCCAGCCCAGGAACACAGTCCAAAGATTAGGGTTTCCACGTTAAGTCCAGCGCCGCATCAGATCCTGGACCGTTGGATCTGACCCAATCCAACGGTCAAGATCAAGGGTTACAGAGGATCGAAAGTCACTGGTCGGCCGAGTATTTCGACGATGTGCAACACCAAAACCGGAACTACTCGGACTGAACCATCCGAGATCACCGAGAACGACCCCGGAATATCCGGGATCGACCCCAAAACAGTCAGAAACAGACCCCCATCGGGGCCTATAAATACAACGGAGAGAACCCCCGAGAACTTGGCCAAAACATCGAAAGCCATAGCCACAGTAAACCAAGAACGAACCAAGAGAAACACAATACCCACGACGAACATCACAACACCATCAACACAACAACATCGACCAACAGTAAGACCGAGGACATCACCAACAAAGTAAACAGAACCCACAGTAAAACAAGGAGCCAGCGTCACCGAAACACAACCATCAACCATATACAGTAAACAAAACCGAGAGACTACAAAAGCATCGAAACCACACACACAAAAACACCAACAACCAAACGCTACGATAAAACCAAGAGAACAAGCAAAACAACGAAACACAAAGACCAAACGCCGAAGAAACCACCGGGAAAGTGAAAGGCCATCAAAGGTAACATTTTCTGGGTAAGAGGTCGTAAGGTTTTTTGTGTATGGTTGGTGTCTGCGTCTGAAAGGAGAGAAGAGGAAGAGGAGAGAACGGCCAGATTAGGGAAATAAGGGAGAGTGATAGCCAAAAGCGCATATAAGGGGTATATAAACCCCCCAAAACGACGCCGTTTAGGTGAGTCTAGGGCATCTCTCGGGTCAACGCATGGGTAAACCGTGTTCTAGGTCCCTGTAAGTTGTACCATTTGTATTTTGGTCACTAGAATAATTTTCAACAGCTTCGATTGGGATTTCTAATTTTATTTTGTTTGTATTTTAGTCATTATTCCGAATTTAGGCTTAATTATTGTTTGGTCCTCCTAACTCTTTACTCTTCGTTTTTGCAGCCTTCATTTTTATTTTAATTTAATCCCTTAATTTTGTTTTGTTTCGATTTAACCCTATAAATTTTTATTTGATTTTATTTTAATTGTAATTATTATTTTTTATTATTTAACATTTTTTATTAGTATTTTTTCTCTCATTTCCCTTAAATTTATTTTATTATTTTTTTTTGTTTTTATTTATTTAATATTTTTCCTCTTTATTCATTTTTTTTCTTCATTCTCATTTTTTCCTCCTTTGATTTATTATTTTAGTTAATTTTATTATTATTCTTTATTCATTTTTTAACATATCTATCTCTTTAAGGATCTTCGTTTCATCCGATCAAAGGTAAGTACTTCGAATCGGGTAATTTAAATTTTAATTTAAATTTTTCAATTTTCGCAAAAAGACAACGGCAAATTAATTGGTACCGAAAGGGTAGTTCAAGGGTGCTAATCCTTCCTTGGCCGTAACCGACTCCCGAACCCGACATATTTTTGGTACAACGTAGATCAGGTAAGATGGTGTCCGATCTACCTAAATTCGTTTTAAAATGATCGGTGGCGACTCCTAACCATTTATTCAAGTCGAAGCCCAATTCCGGGGCCCAACCGAAAGACGGCTACGACAGCTTGGCGACTCCGCTGGGGACAGGTAAGTGAGTCAGGCCGAAATTAATTTTCGGTTGTCTTTTATGCGAAAACGGTAAATTTAAATTTTAATTTATTTATTCGATTCCAATTATTTATCTTTGATTATTTTCAAATAAATAGTTGTACTAACATTTTTTAATGATTTCAGATTTTTCAAAGTTTTCATCTCATGCTCTATACCCGAGCTCCAAACCCTATTTAAGTGGGGGTGAAAGCGACGCCTTCGTGTGAATTTATTCACCGTGCGGGCCTAGCAAGTAGCCTTCGGGATTCATATACCTTATGTCTTCGTGTGGATTTATTCACCGTGCGGGCATAAGGGAATGTGTCCTCTCGAGTTTAACTTAGTCCACACAAGCCAGTGATGGGTTTAGGACTAAAGGTCTGGTAAGCCTAAGGAGGCACCGGCAATGAGAACTCGGGTACCGTTTTTAGAACCTAACTCGGGAGACTACAAGAAGTTAGAGCCCACCTCAAAACCTCATTCCAAACCCTAGGCTGTTTTATTTCCTACTTTATTTTCTGTTCAAAGCATGCGAACTAGAAAAACATGTGGTTAGGTTTTGTTTGAAATTAGCATGCGGGATAGAGATCATGTCCGGGTAGGAATAATAAGCATGTGGGGTAGATATCATGTGGGGTAGCATTTTTCATTTTTATTATTGTTTTGATTTACCTCACTAACCCTTTTATTTTTTGTTCTCTTTTATTTTGTGTTCATTGTTTGCATCATTTAAAACGATGTGTTGATCCACCAAAAATGTGTTTGTTAAACATGAATAATCTGCATTAATGGACAAATGGGTTATAATACAAAGAGATAAAAAAAAACTCAGAAGTCCAACCGTGGTCAAAGAATACTCAAAGGCAAAGTTGCAGGGGCAATACGAGGAAAAGGTCACTGACCCGGTCGCTCCTTTCGAAAACTACAAGAACAAGATGGTGAAACACTAGCTGAGTTGGATGCCATTACTGACGAATTCAAGAAGCAAGCTTCGGATAGTTTCTCTCGATAGAGGGCTCCAATGACACTTTCGTTAGAAACAAGCTCGGTAGAAAGTGAAAGTCGGAGATGCAGTCCTTCGAGATCTTTTTTTTTTGGGGCAAGCATCTCATTATTTGCACATTTTAGCCAAAGGAGCCGGAATGGTTCGACAGGATATTCAACTAGTGAAAAAGACGAATCAACTTGTCAGAAGCTGTACAGGATTTGTACCATCAAAAAGAGTTTTTTGTCTCTTCAGACGTAACACTTTTGTCACCAATAAGGGTTATTCAGAATAACAGGCACATTTTTTGGATCAATGCCTCGGACATTTCATGCATCATATATTTAGACATTTTGCATTTCTTGTTTTCTTTGCATTTTGTTATTTTCTTTGCATTCACATTAACTAATATAAACATGTCTCATCAAGGGGAACAAATACTGGATACACCGCCTCAAGCATTGGACACACCCCATCCACATAACACTCGTTTGAAGAAGAAGAGGATGGAAGCCAGAATTACACAAATCGATGAGAATATGTTAAAACTACAGAAGGAGCTAGAAGACAAGATAAACCAGAACAGTCGAAATACTCTGGAAACAATCACAAAGAACCAAGAGTCCTTGGTTGATCAGATCGTTGCCAAGTTAGTTGGCCTACAACAGACCAGTGCGCCCGGGGCAGGTTCACCGGAAGGGGTAACTATACAACCTACCCCGCAAGTGGTTATCTCACCTGAAATCCTACCAGAACTTCGAGGGGACTCATCTGCTGTAAAAGCAAAGCCCTCGTCCTCTGTATTTAACCCTAAGAACAATCCGAGTTATTACCATGTACCGGATTTGGACGAAGAGGAAAAAGCGAGGAAGATGGAGGAAAAAATCAAACAATTGGAGGACCAAATGAATATAGTCAAAGGAGACCGTGACTACCATGAAATCGATGCAACGGAACTTAGTCTAGTCCCGGACTTGGTTCTTCCCCCGAAATTTAAGTCCCCGGAGTTCGAGAAGTTTGACGGGAATAGTTTCCCATCCGCTCACGTCACCATGTTCTGCCGAAAGATGACAGGATATGGAGGAAACGACCAACTCCTGATCCACTGCTTTCAGGATAGTCTGTCGGGCTCAGCCATTCGGTGGTACAACCAGCTAAGCCGATCAAATATCAAGACGTGGAAGGACCTGGCCAAGTCATTTCTGGAACAATACAAGCATAACAATGACATAAGGCCAGATCGAGTTATGCTACAAAACATGGAAAAGAAGCATAACGAGAGTTTCAGACAGTACGCACAAAAATGGAGGGACTTGGCTGTGCAAGTTCATCCACCGTTAGATGAAAAGGAAACCCGGAAACTTTTCGTGCAGACTCTGAAGGCTCCATACTTCGGGCATCTGGTGGCGATCACATCAGGAAGCTTTTCAGACTTGGTTATGGCCGGAGAAATGATTGAGTCGGCCATAAAGCAAGGCAAGATTAAGGATGGGGAAGCCAGTAAGAAGCCTCCTATGAGGGAGAGGGATGGAGAGGTTAACAACATCAAACACTCCAGCAAAGGTGTTACAATCTCCAGCCCAAAATCAACTGCGGCTGTACCGTTAGGTACTTCTAAACAAGATTCCAGGAGGGAAAGGGAACATTTCGACCCTATTCCCATGACCTACAAAGAGCTTTACCAGCAACTTCTTGACACCCATGTGGTGTCACCATATCCAGTAGAACCCATGAAGCCCCCATACCCCAAGTGGTATGACGAGAATGCATATTGTGAATATCACGGCGGAGTCCCAGGGCACACAATTGAGAACTGTTACGCATTCAAGAGGGTTGTACAAAAGATGCGTAACCAGAACTGGATCGACTTCAACAACTTGGGGGCATCCAAGTGAGGAATATCATTTCATCATTTGAGGCATTCTGTTTGACTTTGTTTTCTTCCATTTTTTCTCAAGTTTTTGTAAAGACATTTTAATCAAATTTATGTTACTTTAAAAGATGTTAAGCAATAGATCATATTTGCAAATTTGCAATTCTTTGAATATCATCTGAATTAAGAAACTCTGTAAATGGTTCAAAGTTACAGATCTTTGACGAAGTAACAAGAACTTTGACCTTACCCAGAATATACCCTCAAACACCGTACCCTACTCTTGCAATTAACCAATATAACCTTTTCCTTTCATAAGGTGCGAACAACATGGGGCATCGTTTGCATATGACGATTACTATACTTTTATTTAAGACGTTCAGTGATGATAATGATCTTCACAGATGGAATAGTCGAGTAAGTGAATCTAGTTTAGGTCAGTTGCTTGAAAATTGAACTCTAAAAGTGAAATTTTTGACCTTCAACAAATACCTAGGCTATAACAGGTTCTTCTTGACAATCTTAAGAAATTAAATCTGTAAAGCTGAGC